TACCCCAGTTCTGTATGCACAAATAAATCTTAAAAAAAAAAAAATTTACAAGCAGCTTCAAAAGAATTTGATAGAAATTTACACTAAAAACAGCAATGAACTGTCATGTTCTTTGGCATCCACAAAGAAGGAAAACGATGGCAAAACCACAAGCTAAAATGCAGCTTAAGACAATTTTATGGAACTTAAAAACATCCTGGGAACTTAATTTTGAAGGTGCATAGCTCATTCGTACCTGAGAACATATTACAGAAAGATCAATAGTGAGAGTCCTCTGTGATATTGGACTTTGAAGGAAAAATAAAAATTCTTCAGACATACAGGCAGAAAGTAGACAGTCTTTTTAAAAAATCAGTCTATTATACTTTTCAACAGTAAAAATTCATGCGAGAACACTGGATTTTCATATTTAAAATACCTGATGTGAAGCAGTTTTTTTTTTCTAGTCAAAATGTTTCCATGCATAAAAATGACAAGCTGGTATCAAGATGCTAGACCTTGAAGAATACCGTTTCCATGAACTCTCCTGCGGAACCTACCAGAGAAAATGCTTCAGAGACTGGAAACCACAGAAGGAGTAATAATGTCAGGACTGATGACCAGTTTTGCACATACACTTTAAGGAAGACCAAAACTAAGTGAGAGCTGAAAGAGAAATTACGGGCTGGAAAGAGGAAGGAAGGAAGAGAACTGAGTGGAGGTATGCAGGATGTTTTCAGCATTACTTACAGGAGTTCCAGGAGATGGTAGTGTGGGTGCTACTTGATGACTGTCATATGCAATAAAAAGCAGAAGAGGTTATGTGTGACTGTCATGAACTGAGTCCTTGGGGATCCATGATCCTTGGTGGATCGAAGACACCCTCAAGCTGGAAGATACAATTATGTGCGTGTTAGAAGTCTACACAACGAAATAATCTCAGAAACTAATGGCATTAAAATAAGCATACAAAATTTGTAAGCAATTTGATTAGTAAACTATTTAATAGTTAATTGGAAAGTTTGATCAGAGAAAAGAATATAAAGATACAATACTAGAAACAAGAAAAACCATTTCTAAGAATATGAGCAGTTATGTCAATTAACTTGACAATCTGGGAAGAATTTGATGATTTTTAGGGACAGATTTATCAAGCACAAAGAATAGAACTGTCCATGTTACTTAAGTTATTTGGAAGTACAGAATGTGTCCAGAAGCACCCCGTTTTACTTAACCGCATGGGTAAACCTGGAACCAAATGCAGCAGCACCAGATGTGCTCCAGACTTTACTTGGATCCTGTGTTTTGGCCAGCTTTCCGGTACTCCATCATAGGGAACCTTTTGGGACAAAATCCCCTGGCTTCGATTTGGATTTGGAAATGGGGTGCCCTGGTAGGAGTAGAGGAAAGGAGGCTAGAATTCAGTTCTTATCCCTGCCACACTGTTCTTCCCTTAGAGCCCATGGGGAAAAGCAGCCATCTGTTGAGTCTTGCCTGGCCTTGGAATTGCAAATTATCCGCACAGTAGTGTATCCACAGGAAATCCTCCCTAAGTTTAAACTAACTTGATGCATTATCTGCTTCCTGCAGCTCTTTCTGGTAAAATACATAAATATAGGAGCAATACCTTTGTAGAAAATAGGAAATTATGGGGCCTCCCTGTGGTACAGGGGTTAAAGTCTCAGCTCTATCAAGCTATCGCCAGCCATTGTGGCCTGAGTTGATCCCTGGCCAGGGAGCTGACCCACAGGGTGCAACAGACCTCTCCTGTCTCACCTGCTACTCCCCCTCAGCAGTGGATTTAAGTAGATCCACCTGCTCAGGTCGCCATTGTGTTTCTGGTGAACCTTCGCCCGCTGTCCCCCCCTCCCACCTCCCTCCCCCCTGTATCTTTGGCCTACACTCCTGTTCATATATATATAAGGTTATAGAAAAGATGCCCTGGTTCTCAAAAAGAGGCTACTGTATTTTAGGTGAACACCATGATATCTCTGACTCAGCAATAGAGAAGGTGTGTATGTGTTTGTGGGTATTCACTGTTACTGTTTGGAATATTTTTGAGGCTTTGAAAATCTCAAAAAATTAGGAAAATTTTAAAACAACAAAATGAAATGCTTTGGATTAAGAATTTTATAAACAAATAAGAAGAAATGTTGGCAGAAAATGCCAACCAATATTGTATAAGCAAATCACTGAAAGCCCTTAGCTCTTAGACAAAATGATACTTGACTTGAGACTGGGGTTTGTATTATTAGGCAATCTGTGTCTGTTAAGTAATAACAGGGCCATAAATTTAAAAAAGCTATCTGTGTTCCTTTGTCAAACATGACAGGATTTTTTTTAAAAAGATTTATTCATGCATACAGAACTGGGGTACAGGCCAAAAGGGCAGGGAGCAGGGACGGTGAGAGGATTCACCACACACAGAGTGGGGAGCAGAACAGGCAGATCAATGAAGTACACTTCTGAGGGGAGCAGCAGGCGGGTCAGGAGAGGTCTGCTGTGCCAAGTAGATCACCTCTGGGGAATCAAACTCATGCTGAAGTGGCTTTAGCTTCTTAGTGCTGTGCTTTAACCCACTGCGCCACCAGGGAGTGCCCAAACATGACAAGATTTTAAAAACCTTTATAAAATGGTATTGCCCCAGTGCAGATGATTGGTATGCAGCTAGCTGAGAGCGACATGCAGTGTAGTGCATTAGTATGTGCAGCCTGGTGTTCCGCTGGTGCTAAGATGTCCTTGTGCTTTTTCAGGACCTCCCTTGCAGCCTATGGGTTGAGTCACACAGCACTGTCACCACTGTGACCTGAGTTCAGTCCTTGGCTAGGGAGCTGATACACACAGGGCTCAGCAGACCTCTCCTGTCTTAGCCTCTATTCCTCTCAGCAATGGATTTTAGGCAATTTGCCTGTTTTGTTCCCCACTCTGGTAGATTCTCCCACCCCACATCTCTGGCCTACACCTAGTTCTTCTATGCAAAAATCTTTAAAAAAGAAAAAAAAATGTCCAAAGTATGTTCATAGCATTGTTAACAGTAGCAAAGATCATTTAAAGTGTCAGTTGGAGTTTGACTTTTACACCAGATAGAAAACTACTTAATGGTTACAGAGGCAGTTAGTAAAATGATATCTCTGTACATTCAGAATAAAAGTAGGTTGCAGAAATGCCCAGTACTGCGTATTGTTGGGGGGGGGGGGATATTGATAAAGGTAGAATTATGGGACATTGGGAATTGTTTTCTGTTTCTGAACTGTTTTTTTTTTTATTAAAAAGTTCATTTTTACATCATTTTTCACATTTTTTTTTTATCTCAATTGTAATCCCCACGGGTTTCCCATCACCAAATCACCCCTGTGCCACCACCATAGTCCCGTGCATTTCCCTCCGTTCCCCACTGTTTTCTTTTTTAAAAGATTGTGCAGACAAAAGCGGGGGGGGGGGGGTGGAGGAGGGGAGGCCAGAGCATGGGCAGGGAACTTGTGAGAGGATTCACCAGAGACAGAGTAGAGAGCAGAACAGGCAGATCTACTGAGATCCACTGCTGAGGGAAACTTCCAGCAGACAGGAGAGGGTCAGCTTCCTGGCTGGGGATCCAGTGGCTGGCATTAGCTTGGTAGTGCTGAGACTCAACCCCTGTGCCACCAGGGACACCTTGTTTCTGAACTATTTTAAAGAAATAAATATTATAAATAGAAAATATTATTAAACTCTCATAAGAAGTATCTCAAGTAATTTTTTCTGTAAAATGATTTCCATATTAGCTGTTAAATACAGTCTAACTGAGTCACAGGGAAAAAACCCCTTCTGATGCTCACAGTGCTCTTGTCCTTTGTGTTTTCAGAGCAGTGGGAAAAGCTCTGTGCTGGAAAGCCTGGTGGGAAGGGACCTGCTCCCCAGGGGCACTGGCATCGTTACCCGGAGACCCCTCATCCTGCAGCTTGTCCACGTTTCGCCTGAAGATAAACGGAAAACAACAGGAGAAGAAAATGGTAATTTTGGTATAAAAATGCCTTAAAACTTCATTTGGTGTCAGTTCTTAGAAAGATAAGGCTGTGGGCAAATCAGGTCCTGTGAAGTAAAGTGGTGAATCCTTTCTTCATGAGAAAGGGTGATTCCTGTGGTCCTGAGGACCATCAGTGAATGTATTTGGAGCTGCAATTCTTTGGCAACCAGTGTGTTGAACTTGTTACTGCTGTTTAATGCGCGATTCAGGGAGCTACTTAGGAGATAGGAATTGGTTATTTTTAAGGGAAATTTTTTGAGTTTTGCAGTGTTTTAAACATTTTTCCATGGTGTTTAAAACTGTTTTTCTTTTGATTTAGAAGTAACTTCAAGTAACTTCAGTTACAGCTTAAAGATTGTATTTTAAATGGAATTAAAGTGGCTCTTTTTAGCAGTCATGTTAAACTCATCTTCCTATTTCCTGTCTTACTGTGTGCTTGCTAATTTTATTGTTACCCTTCAATCTCAGATAAATGTTTTTAGAAAGCTTTGATTTTATTTTACCTGTCCTGCAATAGTATAGTGTGGTATAATGGTATACTATTCTGACTTCAAAATACTGTTTCATCCGCCCCCTCCAATATTTTAGCTTAGTGTCCAGTCAAACTCAGGCTGTTTCTTTATTGGATGTGAGTGGTAAGTGTATGAGGTATTGATTAGAAAGTAAGCACTCTCCTTAATGACTGGAAATAATTTCAAGTTGCTGTTTATGTCTCTTTGCAGGTTTTAAATTGCTTGTAAAATATGCGGTCTGTGTGAGTCATGCCTCTGTAGTGAGGTTGAAATGTTCGATGAGGTTAATATGTTTAATCTTCCTGTTGGCTCTGTGTTTGGCACACACTTTCTTATTTATAAAAGGCTTTTATTGCCCTAATTATTAAATAACAGCAGAGTACCACATTTGGTTCAGTTTAGTTTCATTTGACTTACTTCTGGTCTTTGATGGAATGATACTATGATGAATCGAAGTTACTTTAACTTTTATAACTGATTTTCTTATTGTAGGAACACTAGTAGTGTTTTTAGGAGATGTGAACATCTGTGATGATAGAAAGTTAATTACTGAATGAAGTTGTAGATTTTAACACTATTTCTGGATTGGCAGCGGCAGCCAGGATATGTGGGAGGCTTTTAGTTATAGTAGGTAATTATGTTAGGTAGCTTCTTGGTGTATTCTCTATCCCTTTGTGTTTCTGGAAAAGTTCTCTAATGAATCCACCTTAAATTTAACTATTTTAGGGCTAACCTGCGGTTCAGCTTCATAGACAATAACACTTCAAAGTTTTCATTCCCACTAATTCATTTCTTCACAGTCACAAGTACCCTTACTAAGACTTGAAGAAACTGTGTGGCATTAGGTCTCTGTCTTTGAGCTTTTCACTTTCTCCAGTCATCTTAAGAAGGGCAGATGACACCCTGTCTCAGAAACTAGTATGGGCAGTGCTCTAGAACAGGGTGTAGATTTCAGGGTGGAAGAGTTAGGTCCTTAGTGCCTCTGCTTGTGCGTCTGCTGTGGGTGTCTCTTCTTGGTGGTGGTCAGTAAATTGCAATCTTTATATATATTTTTCTGAAGCTTAGTGCTTAATTTTTGCATCTAACCCCCGTCACATGTGCGTGTACATGTGCGTGCACACACACACTGAACATGACAACTCAGCTACCTAGGGTACAAATTAAATTTCATGTATTTTGGGTCCTTAGTTACCTGTCTCATTAGTAACCAGGGTTGTTCCTTAGTTTCTCATCAGAGGTTCTTTTTCTTCAGGATAAATAATTCTACCTTGTTGTGAGTCATTGTAGCCCAGAGGAAATTAGAAATGAAGCAGTGAACGAGAAGACTGAGCTGCCTCACAGCTTGACATGGAGGAGAAGGGGGGAGAGGGGGGGACATGACCACTCGGTAATTTCAAAAAAAGAAAGTTAAAGTCAGCCTCTTACCTGTTGGTACAGGGATTTATAGCCTCAGAGGGTTTGTTTTGTCACGAAAAGGCCTGAATTATCAATAATAGGTTAAATGAAGAGCCATGTTTTCTAAGATGACATGGAGAAATGTAATTCATGTTTATATGGGCTCATCAGAATTGGCTGAAAAAATATTTTTGCGTCTAATATGTATGGTTTAATTATCAGGAAAATTTACTCAGCTGAGTTCCTTCATTTTGCAGTTACATAGATAATTGGAGTGTCAATTACTATAAATTTATAGGATTTCTATGCTTGCCTCGCTTCTGCCATTATAAAAAAAGTTTGAAACCCCACCTTGTAGGAATCTGGCTGGGCTGAGCATCTGTGTGGAGGTGTGGAGGTGGCTCAGACCTCTGGGCTGTAGAAATACCAAAAGATGAGTGGCCCAGCTGGCAAGCTAATATTTAAAAGTGACCTCACAAAATGGGGTGCCTCCTGAAGTTGACCCTCAGCTGCTGAAAAGGACTGGGACAGTATTGGAAAGTGGGTTCCGAGCTGTTGCGCTCACCTTGCAAACCAGGATTTGGGATGGATCCATTACGAGATACAGTTTAGAATCTCACTGACATTCAGCTTCCACCCTCATTCAGGGAATAGCCAAGTCAGAAGAGAAATTGCAGCGAAGACATTGTGTGTTTATGCAGACCTCAAATCTCATAAAGCTGTGCTCTAAGCAGGATCTCAGGGTAGGAAATACTGTTCACAACTTTCAAGAATTTCATCTGGAATTGGAAGAAGCAAATGGCTGGACTTTGTTTGAACATTCATGATGCAGGCTGCTGTTCCAACTCATTACCAAGATGGAGGAAGCAACCCAGGAGGCACCCCAGGAGGCAGAGTAAAACAGCACATACCAGTGGGAGCGAAGATTTTCTAGATGTGTACAACTGTTGATTTCATGATCATCAGTCAATAAGTTGACCTTAAAACAGAACAAAAGTCATTAAACATATCTTGGTTTTATATCATCAGCAAATATTGTAACTGGTATCTATTGGAAGAATATTGGTTATTGTGCAATACTCTATTTTATTGTAACTTTGATATAAATAAATTTTGGGTCCTGAACACAAGAACACATATTTCACATTTTAAAAATAATTTCATTAGAATAAATCTTAGACTAGATTACTAGTTTAGTTTGAACTTTGACCCTCACAATTATCTTTGATGTATTTTTATGCAATAAGCTTTCCTCATGTTTCTTGTTAAACAAAATCCAGCAGTAACAAACTGATTAAAAATTGTTTCTGTGGTGGTCTGTTAAATTCAATATGTAGTTGAAAGAAAATAATCCCTTAGAAAATCAGCCTTAACATAATTTGTATTTGTAGTGATGTCTATACCTAACTTTAAGGTTTTAAAATGTGAATTTTGTTGCCAGGCACTTAATTTTCCCATAGTTCTATTTTCGATATTGAAGGCACATTTTTGAAGTGTTAGATCAGAATCCCGAGGTGATGCCTTTTATTACTGCAGAACACAAAAATAGACACACAATATGCTTTGCATATAGCACTTGAAAGATGATTATTTTCCTTTATTAATCAGTTACGGCAAAATTGTAAAGTTGGAATAACTGGATGCTACATGCATTTGAAATCTGTTCAGGTTTTTGCACATTTGATTTTTGTAAAAGGTTTAACTTTTAGGGGTAAGCAGTAAACTTACCATTCTGTGCTGTTTCTCTTTAACTACAGACCCTGCTACATGGAAAAACTCAAGACAGCTTTCTAAAGGTCTTCTTTCCTTGTTCTCAGCCCTGCCCTGCTCCGCTGCATGTGTGCTGCTGTGTTCTCATGGGCTGTGTGCATCCCCATTTTTATTTGCCTGTTCACACTGAGCGCAGGTGTTAGTGGTTCTCGCTCTTCTTGGCATTGCATCAGAAGGCAGGCTTTTTTTGGTGGTGAATGTAATTTATGTTATTTTTCTTTAAAACATTTTTGTGAAGCCAGGCATCCTTTATATGAGACGGTAAATAAAAACCTCCCCTTTGGTATGGGTGTCTGTCTCTGTGAGTTCTGTTCACCTGGATTACTTCAGGCCTCCAATGAGACTTCTTGGAAGAAGGTACTATGTTTCAAGTAGGTGAGAGTTTTACTTGCATAAAGGATCTAGTTTTACTTACCTTTTCTCCCCCAAAGTGCTGATTCGCCTTTTCTCACATTAACATTGTTAAATATCTTAGTCATTTTTATTTTACTTTTAGGTCCTTGATAGGCGTTATTCATAAACATATGAACACATTTATAATTCTTATGGATTTGGCAAAAGCAGAGCAGCTGTGCTTGGGGTAGTCAGAACCAGATTAACTTTCTATGATTAAACATTTCTACCTTGTCTGAAAAAAGATTGAAACTTGCTCTCCAAGTTTTAAACCATTGGAAACAGCACACACAGTGACGAGCTTCCCTTTTCAGCACAGTTGAGGGACGGAGTGGCATTTGGGGCTAGCAGAGAGTAGGACTCCCTCTGTACGTGGGCTGGGTCTTTTCTCCCTTTGATTTCATTTCTTTCCTGCTTCCAATTCTGAAGGAGAAATCGTCCTGGGTCTTGGGTGTACTTACTTTGAAAAAGTGCAAGTAAAGTACAGATGGAACTTTAGAGGAGCAACAGTTTGAGTGAGAGATGGAAAACAGTTTGATGAAGAACAAAATCAGTGGGAAAGTTAGCTAGTTCATTGACATACTGCAAATTTCTGTCTGGAATTTGATGTATAAATCTACTATTCATGCTTTTAGTGGGATTTCTTAGTGGGATTTTAAATTTTTCTTTAGCTATTGATTTGAGTGATTCACCATTTAAACTACTCTTAAGCATACATAAGACATTTTAAAATAGAGTATTCTTTTTAGTAATTTTACATAGAAAGATATTATGAAGAGAAGTGAGTATTAAAAAAATCTAAATTTCAAATGGGAGGAAGACCTGTGAACCACTTTCTGACGTTAGTCATGCTTTACAAATATAAGATACGATTGTTTAAATGTGGAAGTGTAATTTTGCAAATCTTAAGACACGTAGTAACTTGTAGTTAATTGAAAAATAGAAACAAAAACAATTTATTATGTGCTTTTTAAATTCCTAAAGATAAATATGCTTCCACAATTTCCATTAAATGAGATTTTCTTTTCTCAGGAGTTGAAGCAGAAGAATGGGGTAAATTTCTCCACACCAAGAATAAGGTAACCTTATACAATACTGTGAACAAATACTAGTTGAAACATTTCTTTGTATAAGTAATTGATAATTTAGTTCTTTTTTATCTTTAAAGATTTATTTATTTAATTTTGCATAGAAGAACTGCACTGTTAGGCCAGAAGTGCGGGGGAGGTGAGAGGATTCACTAGAGACAGAGCAGGAGCAGTACAGGCACTCTGAAATCCACTGCAAAGGGGAACAGCAGACCAGACAGAGGTCTGCTGCAGCTGATGTGGATCAGCTCCCTGGCCAGGGATCGAACTCAGGCCATAACAGTGATGGTGCTGGGACTTAACCCAGGCCACTAGGAAGGCCTCATTTAGTTTTCTTATAGGCAATACAGCCTGTTATTTTGTATTTTGTATTTTCCTTGTAAAAGGAAAATAAATTATCTTAGTAACATTTCTATCCACCATAGTTTATTTAAAGATTTATTTATTTATGCATATAAGAACTGGGATATAAGCCAGAAGTGTGCGGGGTGAGAGGATTCACCAGAGACAGAGTGGGGAGCAGAACAAGCAGACTACTGAAATCCACTGATTTCAGTGGAGCTGAGGGAGCAGTGGGTCGGCTGCTGCTCCATGTGGGTTAGCTCCCTGGCCAGGGATCGAACTTGTGCTGCAGTGGCTTAGGATAGCTTCACAGTGCTGTACTTTTTTAAGATTTATTTATTTATGCATACAGAACTGGGTACAGGATAGAGGTGTACGGCGCTGAGAGGATTCACCAGAGACAGAGAGTGGAGCAGAACAGGCAGATCTACTGAAAAACACTGCTGAGGGGAGTAGCAGGCAGGTCAGGGGAGTAGCAGGCAGGTCAGGGGAGGTCTGCCTTGCCATGTGGATCACCTCTGGGGCTGGGGATCGAACTCACACTGAAGCTGGTTGCCCCTCCCTTGCAGTGATGGGCTTTAACTGGTTGTGCCAGGGGGGCCCCTGGAGATAAATTTTCAATTGAGCCCAGTTCCTTCTAGTTTGGAGATTTTTAACTCTTGTGGAATTAGACAGCTTTAAAAGAATCACATAAAGTCATCGCTCAGGAAGATACATGTGTATATTAGATCTTGTTTATTCCTGAAGAAGTTCTTAGATTTTCTTGACATTTATGGCCACTCTCACTTAGATCTTTGATTTTATTTTGACTGTCATGCTTTTTTGTTTCCATAATTTTTAGCTCTATACAGATTTTGATGAAATTCGACAAGAAATTGAAAATGAAACTGAAAGGATTTCAGGAAATAATAAGGTAGGCATAATTTTAGAGCTGGAATCATATAAACATCAGTAAGCATGTGAGGTGAGTGTTGTAAATTCATAGTCCTGCTCTTTGTACCTAGTGGGAGTTCACAAATAATATGAAAAATTAAAATCCATGTTATTTCTTAGAGCTTTTGTATATTACTACATATTTCATTTAGATGTTTGATCTTGTGATCTGCATACCACTTTAGTAAATCAAGAGACCTGTATTTTTAAAGGTTCTTTTTCTAGATTTACTATGAAAGCAAAGAAATTCGTTTTTCCCCCACTTTTCAGTGAATATGAAAAATGTTAATTTTTTAAAAAAAATTAGAAGCTTATAAAATTAGGCATCTCAGTATATTTAGCGTTTCTGTCAGATGTGTGACTACCTTCCCTAAGGACTTCTGTTTTCTTTATTCCTATTTTCTTTCTTCTCTCTTCCTTTTTTGTTTTTACCTTTATTATATTGTCCACAAGCACTTTTAACTCTACAAATGGGCTTAATACTAATACTCAATAAAAATTTATTGAGCTCTTTATCTGCCAGATAGTGCTGGGGAGATCATTTCCTGACAGGAAGGCAATGGGGGAGTCATGTTAATTTTTGTGTCACCGTGGGGTTTCTGTCTTGGTGAGGGCCTGTATTTTGTCATCATTGCTCCTTGGGCTGGTCACCCTGAGTTTCTGCTTCTGCGACCACACTGCCCTGATTTCTGGGGCTACTGTATGAAAAGGGCAACAAATTGGCAGAAGCCTAGGGTAGTCATCCTCAGCCCTCTGAGGACATCAGGTTAAACTTGACTGAGACTGCTGTATGTCATCACAGCAGTCAGAGCCATCTGTCCTGGGCCTGCTGTGGATTTACTGACTTCAGGAGCTAAGGGTAATTTTACACAGGACTGGAGTTTAGGGTGGTCGTGACTGGAAAGTAAGAGGGAAAGTCTTATAAGAGACAGCTTGTTGTGAGTAATGAATCTGCACACTCACAGGAGGCTTCATTTACTTGGGGATACGATTCACTTTTACCTAGTGGATTTTGAGTCCCTTATCCCTGAATCTATGACAGTTTTTTCCTTTCCTGAAGCATGTTGGTAATGAAGGAATTGATACTTTGATCATATATAAGTATTTTTATTTATCTCATTATCCAAGTAATTTCATCTCCAAAAAATATATATATATATATTTATATATATATATATAAAAGGTTGTTTTAAATACTTTTGAATAAAGCTTGTGTCAACATGGTAAGGTATGCCTGAGAATATGTAGCTAGGAAGGTGTGTCAGATACCAGCCTAGAGTATTTAGGACTCTGGCATATTCAAAACAGATGAGCAGTTCACAGGGAGCCAGTGAAGCAAAAGAAACACATCACATCAGTGTCCCTGTTGGCACTTAGCCCCAAAAAGTGTGAGGGACCTTTGATGAAGATCAGGATTGTGGTCGCCTCAGGGGAATGGAGAGGAAAGATTCAGGTACCTGTTCTGAGGCGTCTCTTAATGTACACTCAGGCCAGTGTTTTCAGAGTTAGAAGCCGCACCAGCCTACCTTGTCTCTGCCTTACTTGCTCAATTTAAGAAACTCAGTGCATCTTTCTTTACTTTAGCATTAAGTCTGTGAAATACATTTGAGTTATGGTACCTGCTTCGAATCAAGAGACGAGAATGTGAAATAATACGGAGGAAGTAAATTTTATGTTGGGTAGGATTATAACCTGTTCATATTTAATTTATATGTAACAGAATCTAAGGTCTTTCTACTTGAAGTGAGATTGCATTAGTGAGATTTATATTTCATTGCCATTTTAATGAGATATTTTAATCCTTATTTTTAGGGAGTCAGCCCTGAACCTATTCATCTTAAGATATTTTCCCCCAATGTTGTCAATCTGACACTAGTGGATTTGCCAGGAATGACCAAGGTAAAGAATCCCGTGACTTGCTGTGGGTGCAGTCTTCCCTGACTGCTCTGTTTAGGCATGATCTTGCTTATAACAGTAATTTTAAAGTATAATCTTAGCTCCCTGTGCTGCTGTTGCTTTTATTTTTTCCAGTGTCATGCCACATCTGGAGGCAATACATAGTATATGTGTTTGTTTCTTATGTCTCATCACTGAAATGCAAACTCTATAGAGGGGAATTTTGCTTGTTTCCACTGCTGACATTCTTTAGCAAATGGAACAATACCTAAAGTATGGTTTTCGGTAAATACTGCTAATTGAAAGAATGAATGAATTTCTGTTTAACATTGACTAATACTTAACAAGGTCAATTTTTGATATTTGAGAAAATTACATTTTTAAACTTACACATGTAACAAAGTCATACATACCACCATTGTATATAATTTCATGTTAATTTTCTGTAAAAGGAGTTAAATGGGTGATGGGCTAGGGAGCTGAGTTGCTTTTTACTGTTACTTCCTTCCTTGTCTCTGCTTTAGGTGCCTGTGGGCGATCAGCCTAAGGACATTGAGCTTCAGATTAGAGAGCTCATTCTGCGGTTCATCAGTAACCCCAACTCCATCATCCTCGCTGTCACTGCTGCCAATACAGACATGGCGACCTCAGAAGCTCTCAAAATCTCAAGAGAGGTAGATCCAGATGGTAAGGACCAATGTTAGTGTTAATGTGTGACTTGGTTAACAGTGGCAACCTACCTTGAAGAAAGGAAATTGTATTTACTGAGGTAACGCTGGTCACAACACTGTATCTTTTAGGGGAATAGGATCATACCCCTTCAGATTTATGTTCCTACCCCCTCAGCTCTACCACCAGAGCACCACAGTCCTCCACCACAGTCCATTCTAGTCATCCTCCCCACCTCTGTAGCTTCAGTTCCACTGTCAGAATCTGAGGGTTGGTTTGGTTTAGTTTGTCTATTCTTTTACTTTGTTTCTATATGTTCCACATTTTAGTAAAATCATTCACTATTTGTCTCTCCTGATTTTTTTCATTTAACATACTTAAATGAAACAAAGTGGCAAAATAGGAAATTTTGTTTTTTAGAAAGAATGTCGGTAGTTAATACAGATGTAAAAAAATCATGCTTTTTTGCTGATAGCGTCAAATAGAAATTTGAATGGAAAGTAAAGTTCTATGATGGGTAAGTTGCTGTAAAGGCTAGGTCAAAATACTTAACATGTATACACATTTGTAATAGTTACCTAATAATCTTAAAATGACTTTGCAAAACATTTGTTGTATTGCATACTTGAAGTGATTTAGGTGTTTGAAAGATTAACTTCTAAGAATAAATAACTCCCATAGTAGGTAGTTGTAGATGGCTGTGTTAGAATAGGTATCTGCTTTGGTATTTGCAGAATTAGAAAACATTGAGATATGCTCAAGGCAGAGAGGATCCTTAGAAATGAAGGTCAAGTTCTTTTGTGAAGCACTTGTCATCCCAGCATTAGTCAGAGGGGGTCAGCATGTGATGTGCCTCGCTGCGGTAGAAGCCTGGCTGGGAGACAGGGCTGTGTAGGCTGCTTTCCCTTGATGGCCCAACGACTCACCTGCGATTTAGACTGTGTGTGGGCTCTCTCATGTCTGTCTTCCTACTTTGAGGAAGAATTATATAAATTTTGGTAGCAAATGTTAGCGTTAAGCCTGCTAATTAAAGTTCCCATAACAGTTGTTAAAAATAATTTTTTTGTTATCTTAGGTTTTTAAAAAAACTTTTACTAGATGAATAATTAACATGCAAAATAAAAGATGTAAAGGGTTTATTTAAGTTTAATTTTTACTGTGTTAACTGTTAACCATTTTGTTTACGTTAATTCTACCTTAAAGTGACCCTTGAATGAACCTTTGATCTAGTAATCTCAATTTAGTAATACATTTTAAGGAAATAAGCCATCCAGTTTTATTTATAGCATTATTTATTATTAATTAGAATCGACTTGGTATGGCTAACATTAGGAATTGAAATAGTAACAGAATATGAGATCTTTAAAAAGAATGACTTTGTAGATTTGGAGCAGTATATAAAATACTTATAATTTAAAAATGATCAAAATTGCATGTTGCAGTGTGTGTGTGGAATTTGCATGAATTTGGAACTTTGGAAGTGGTTTGTCAGCAGTCCTATTTCTAGGCATTTGTCTTATGAGTTCTATATTCATGCAAAAGCTTATGTGCAGTGTCTTTATTAGCTTTATTTGTATTCTTTAAAACTGGAAACAACTTTCTCAAATTGGGAAATGACTAACCAAGCCAGAAAACATCCATATGCTGGAGCACAACTTAGCTGCACAGAGAAGGATCAAGTGATAAGTGTAGTATCAGGGAGGGCTTGCAGATGAATGCCAAGTGGAAAGCCAGGCCTAAAGGCTGGGCCTGCCATTTCATTCACACCAAATTCCAGAAAATACTAAGGTAGTCACAGGAGATGGCTCTGTGGGGTGGCACAAGATGAATGAGGGACTTGACTCACTTATCAACAAGAGATGATGATACAGCTGTTCATCACATATATCAAAACTCATAGACCTGGATAATAAAAAAACAAATTTTAAACAAATATTTGGAAAAATAGACAAATTTAAGAGTTTAAATTGTGAAAAATTTTAGAAATTGTACACAGTTGTAAATTAGTTTTTAAAAAGCATTTGCAAATTGGGCTCCCTCTGGTGGCACAGCAGGTTGAAGCACAGCACTAAGAGGCTTGAGCTGCTTCTGCATAAGTTCGATTCCCGCCTTCCTGGGAGGAGATCCACATGGCGTGGCAGACCTCTCCGGACCTGCCCACAGCTCCCCTCAGCAGTGTACTTGGTCGATCTGCCTGTTCTGCTCCCCTCTCTGTCTCTGGTGAATCCTCTCACCCTCCGCATCTCTGGCCTGTACCCCAGTTTATATGAATAAATAAATAAATCTTTAATTTAAAAAAAAGCATTTTCAAATTGATGATAGTTGTAATAGTAAGTGACTGTAGATAGGGTCACTTTCTCTTTGCTTTTCCCAGGTCGCAGGACCCTGGCCGTAATCACTAAACTTGACCTCATGGATGCAGGCACTGATGCCATGGATGTGCTGATGGGAAGGGTTATTCCAGTGAAGCTTGGAATAATTGGAGTAGTTAACAGGTTAGCAATCAAGAATGGGATATGTGAGCGTTAATGTTCCAAGGCAAACCTGAAAATTTCAAATAAGTCTCAACTATAATAGACTCTGTTTTTCCCCTTTTCCTATAATCTTTTCTGGTAATGGCTAGCACAGGCATTGCTCTTAAGGGAGCAGAGTGACTCACTAAAGTCTCCTGTGGTGAACACTAACACAAGGTGGAAGATCATTTCTTAAGCTTAAACACTACTGCCTTTTAGGTACTGATAAGGAGGGTCCTCAATAGAAAGTATGATGTTATTTGCCCTCATTCAAGACAGAGTTTAAGGGAGTAGGATTTTGTTAGGTTGCTTTTGTTTGTTAGTGTTTTAATGTCTCTTTGTAATTGTCAGGATGTAATGTAGAGAAACTTTATAAAGGAATTCTAATTATAAATAGCTGGTATTAAACATCATGGGAAGGAAGCAACAACTGAATGTCTGCTTGAGCTGTAGACAGTGCACAGTGCTGTGCAGATGGCCTGTCTTTGAAACCTTACAGCAGCCCTGTGAGATGGGCACTGATGTCCGTCTCTTAATCAGGGAACTGAAGTGGTTTGCTTCCAGAGTCGCAGGCTGGTGTGTGAAGGGCTGGATTCAGGTGGAGACGCCCCTTTCACAGGGCCTTTATGCAGGAGGAAGTGCTGAAATTACCGTGAGCTCCAGCTGCCAAGTGCTTTGTCTCCTGGAATCAAGTGTGTGTGTGTAAATCACGCCTCAACTCTTTGGGTCTTGAACCTTACAAAATGGAAATGTCGTTAATAAATGACAGCATGACTGTTGACAGCTGTCTGCTTCCCTGCATGCTTCATCCAGGCTCCCACATTAGAGCCGCTAAGTCCACTATTTGTTCTCAGACTCTTTGCTGTATTTATAGGTGATAGCTCTGCAAGTAACATCGTTACTTTGGGTGGAAATGACTTGCCTGTCCGTGGAGAAGATAAACACTTGTGTGACCCACACAGGTTTTCACTGTCCACCCCTGCTACCTACAAGCATGACTGACCATTGTTAATGGTAATAATGAGACCTAAACTTAAAAGTCACATGGTTTGTGACGGAGCCACTAAGTTAATCTCCTGAGCTAAGTTTTTTTGCTACAAATTGGGGTAGCACCTATCATGTAGAGCGATGTGAATATCAAATGTGGGGACCACAGTGGACTTGAGCTGAACAGTTCGTTATTTTCTACCCCTAGGAGCCAGCTAGATATTAACAATAAGAAAAGTGTCACCGATTCAATCCGTGATGAATATGCTTTCCTTCAAAAGAAATACCCATCTCTGGCCAACAGAAATGGAACAAAGTACCTTGCCAGGACCCTGAACAGGTAACATTTTATTACCTACGAAGGTTGAGATATTTTGTTCTCACCAGTAGGTGTCGGGACCTTCCATCTCAGTTCTTGTGGCTTCCTAGTGTTCTTAGGTGTATAGTTTAACTTTCTGTTGTGGAACAGCAGTTCTTGCACATGGCTCTGGGCTTGGGCAAGTGGCATTAAGTCCTCATGCAGTCGAGGAATGCTGGGTTGGACGTTAAAGCGTTTTAATTCACAGACATTCATTAAATAAAAGACTGCTTCATCTGAAAAAAAATTACGATTATGAGATCATAAAGTTTTTCATAATCAAAAAATGTTTTGATTGTTATGTTACTTTATCTCTTGTTATGGTGACCTTTTTTATTTATTTTCTAATTTTTTTTGCATAAAAGAACTGAGATATAGGCAAGAAGTGTGGGGGGTGAGAGCATTCACCAGACACAAAAAGTGTTTTGATTATGAGATCCTTGATGGTCAATTTTCTTTGAGAATAGAGCTAGAGAGCTTGTGCTTTCATTACACTTTGGACTTCAGGAATTGAATTTAAATGTGTGATTTTCACACAATCTGATCTGCATTTGGGGTGTCATCTGTTCCTCCTCATAGCAAGGTAGAAGCTTGGGCACCTTCTGGGCCCTTGTTTAGAGTGGGAAGGCCCTTCCAGAAGAGTTAATGACTGAAGAGAAAACGGTTTTTTCTTATTCCCTAAGTAAAGATGTATGCACCTGAATCTGAGATTGATTTTCATTATGCTCAGACCTATTGTAAAGGATACGTCAAAAGCAGTTATACAGATAGAACTAGATTAAGTTGCTTGCTTTTGCCATGTTTTTTCTAGTTACATTTGATTTTCCAGGTACAGTTGCTATAGTCGGGGTTGAAGGTATATTTACAAAGTATTAGCCAAGATGACTTCCTTTATGTCATTTTATTCGGACTCAATATTATTGTCTCAGATCATGTTATTTCCTCCCAGATAGTTTCACAGGTTTCCTTGTTAATTTTCATTTTCAAATTTTGACTCCTTGAGGTCTTCAGTATATCCAATTTCATTTTGAAGCTTTTATTTTCTAACTTCATTAGGTTACTGATGCATCACATCAGAGATTGTTTACCAGAGCTGAAGACAAGAATCAATGTGCTGGCCGCGCAGTACCAGTCTCTGCTCAATAGTTATGGTGAGCCCGTGGATGACAAAAGTGCTACTTTACTCCAGCTCATCACCAAGTTCGCCACAGAGTACTGTAACACGATTGAGGGGACAGCAAAGTACATCGAGACTTCAGAGCTGTGAGTAACAAATAGCTTTGTGGTCACTTTATCTAGGGATGTCCAGGGATGTCCCTAATTGCTAGGTTACTTTATCTTTCGTTATGGTGGTTTTTTTTTTTTTAAGCTTTTACTTATTTTTGCATAAAAGAACTGGGATATAGGCCAGAAGTGTGGGGGTGAGAGGATTCACCAGAGGCAGAGAGGGGAACAGAACAGGTAGATCTACTGCAGTACCTGCCAAGGGGAGCAGCAGGCAAGACAGAAGAGGTCTGCTGTGCCATGCTGGTTAGCTTCCTGGCCAGGGATTAAACTCAGGCCGCACTGGTACAGCACTGAGACTCAAGCCCCTAGGCCACCAGAGAGGCTTAGTTATAGTGACTTTTAACTCTGAGATTATCTACTTGTGATTTATTAGAATAGTAATGTCATTTTGTAGAACTGACAGGCTGGTGTCTGATATGTGAGTAATTGTGTTTTATAAACTAAAAAGTAAAAATTTCAGTTTTTAAAATAAGACTGATAAATATCTTAAATGTTTCATAATTTTAATTTTTAAAACGCTTACAGTCTCTTTAATACATACAGTGTAACTTTTTGTGGGGGGAAAATGCAGAGTATAAAATATATAAAATTACTCTTAATTCTGTCTTGATAACTGCTTTTGTTACTAATCTGGACATTTCCTAAACATCTATCAAATAAACAAGTACAACACATCTGAAAATCAGATGCAGTACATACTGTTTTGAAATAATTTTTCTAAGTCAACATTTCAGAAATAGCTAATAATCATACAATCATATTACCCTACATATTTACATAATATTTAACTTACCAGGTAAACTGATTTGCTTAGCCAGTCCCCCACTATTGATAACTTGGTTTCAGATAAACACAAATAGAACGCTGAGGTGGACATCCCTGGGCACGGGTCCATGCGGCCCTGCAGATAGATGCCTAGCAGTGGGATGCCAGGCCGAGTCCGTCACAGCCACCATGTTTGTGATCAGCAGATTGTATTGTTTACTGTTAACAGTATATATGAAAATGCATCTTGCTATACTCAAATCATGCTTGTTTAATTTTGAAATAATTATAAACTGCCAGAAAGTTTGAATAAGTGTGCAGGGATGTCCTGATCTGCTTTCATCCCACCTCCTGTGCCGGCATGTGCAGCTGTGGTACAGTAGGACAACTGGAGTGGACCACAGTGTGAGTGGGTGTGTGCCTGCATGTGTTTCTGTGTACCTACCGTTTGCGATCAGGTGTCTTCTAGGTGTTAGCCAGAAAAGAGAGTGTAACTTAACGAACTATACTGAATGGTGATATGGTCGTGTAGGGAGGTTCATGAAAATTCACTATTAAGATGAACCTCTGCAGAGGTAACGTGAGCCTTGATTTGGTGGCCAAAGGGGTTTAATAATCAAAATGTTCTTATTTAAAGGTGTATAGTCATGTTTAAATTCTTGTAGTCATATTTAAATTCTTAAAATACCATACATAACCAGAAAAGTGCAGATAACGTGTATAGGCAGATTTACAAGCAAAAACAGCCTTTAAAATGCTGAAGAGAGGAAAGCATTTTATTCAGGGAATTAGGATAATGCCACAGTTAATAGGGGCTAGGTTTAGCTCTGAATAGAATATGAGAAGGTGTCAGGGGAAGTGAGTCTTAGCCTGGGGAGTGTCCTGGGCTGTGTTGGGAGAGTGACTGATGCCATTATGGGACATGGCAGAAAGAAAGTCAGGGAAGTGTCACCAGCAAGCTGGAGAGTCAGATGCCCTACTACAGAAATTAAAACTTTTGGTCAAAGGAGTAACCTGTTTTAGGAAGATAATTCTGGTTATTGTGGAAATTATTCAGAGAAGAAAAAGGATGGAGGGAGAGACTGATTTCTGGTCATTTTTATTATCTGTGAGTATATAAGTCAGAGGCCCTCTATGTTGTACAGTTTTATACAACCGTCATTGTGTCTCTCCCAAGATTTTATATCACCCTCCTAGATCTACATTTTCCATCACGTCACCATTTGCTCTTTTTCAGTCTCTGAAACTCATGATTTACTCTATGAATTTGCATGTTCTAGAGCTTTCATGTCAGAGGACTCATAAATATCTGTCCTTTGTGTCTGACTGACTGCATTTAACATAGTGTTAGGTTCTAGTACCTTCTACTTAGTCTAATGAAGTAGTGAATATCCTGGTGAAAATAGCGACAAAGGAATGGTTTGGAAGACAGAGGCATTTGTGGAGATTAGCTGGCTTAAACCAACACCCAAAGCTGACACTAGGGCTTCCTGTCATTAAGGTAGGAAACCCTGTGATGTCATTGCTGCCCAGAGATTTGTCTGAAGAAGGGAGCTTAATGACAACTCATTGGCTGAGAATGACTTTTCTATTCTGAATGGTGGGAGGAAACTCAAAAGTTATTACTGACCTGTGGAAATTATGTGATGTGCAATTTTTGGTGTGTTGCATTTGAGCCACAGTTATAGTTGTACCTGTGCATGGTGCAGCCTTGGGGCTGGGGCAGAGCAGAGTTCGTGGAAGTCTAAGGCACTGCCACCTGACCCCTGGCAGGCAGCTTTCTCCAACCTCTCCCCAGACCGTGATTCAAGGGAAACAGACAACATGGCGTTTGAAGCTCTTGCAGTGTCCTTGGAGAGTGGGAGCTGTCTCCCTGATGTTTTCTGACAGAACTGTGTACCTTTCAGTTATGATTACTTTCCCCATTTGAAAAAAAAAAAACAAAAAACTGGTCTGTCGTCAAGTTCACATGGAAATAGAATTGTCTGTGTGTGATTGTTTGCGTGGGCCTCTGTTGGGAAGTGAGACTAATGGGAGGACAGACTCCCCACCTCTTGCCCTGTAGTAACTGCAGACACCCTATATTTTGTTGCCTTCCAGATGTGGTGGTGCTAGAATATGTTACATTTTCCATGAGACTTTTGGGCGAACCTTAGAATCTGTTGACCCACTAGGTGGCCTTAACACTATTGACATCCTGACTGCCATCAGGAACGCTACTGTGAGTATGTTCACTTCTGGACGCCCAGAAGTGAGGTTGAAGCCTTACGCTTTTCCTCCTCACATTTCTTTAAAATAAACCATATTGTTTGATACTTTGCTTTCCTACTTGAAATTAAGTCCTTTTTGTGAAAAATGGCACAAAGATGGGATTTATCTCAATCTTTGGGATAGCAAGAATGACACATAACTAATAGTGCCCCAAATTTAATATTTGCAGGGCCCTCGTCCTGCTTTGTTTGTGCCTGAGGTTTCATTTGAGCTGCTTGTCAAGAGGCAGATCAAGCGCCTGGAAGAGCCCAGCCTCCGCTGTGTGGAGCTAGTGCATGAGGAGATGCAGCGGATTATCCAGCACTGCAGCAACTACAGCACGCAGGTGCTGGCAGGGTGGGCAGGTGGGTGGGCTATGGAGGGGAGCAGGCTGGCTGAGTCGCCACTGAAATCCCTGACTGAGGTGATTTGAAGCCATGCACTTAAATGGAGCTTTTAGTCAAATTCAGAATCACTTCCCTGTAAACAAAATGCTGTCGGCTCTTTCCTCCATCATGCAGGAGTTACTGCGGTTCCCTAAACTTCACGACGCCATCGTTGAAGTGGTGACTTGTCTCCTGCGTAAGCGGTTGCCTGTTACAAATGAAATGGTGAGCTACTTGCAAACCATTGCAGTCCCTGCTGGTGAATGTGCTTCTCACACCACTGTGCTGTTTAGTACTTAGGTGCCATTTTCCTGTGTGGGATGGAGTTTGAGTCCTACTTCAAAGGCAGCTTCAGTGACTTGCAGAAACAGTTTCCTCTCTATGCAGCTGTCACTCGCTGGCACCCTGGGTGTGGCTGCCCAGGGGTGGTTGGTGCCACCTGCAGCCAGACACAAGCCTTTGAAGAGAGCGCTTTCCTCCTTGCCCCTTGTCGTGCCCTGGATGACCCAGCCATCCACACGGTTGGCTTGTTTACGGCATGCTGTCGTCAGTGCCACTGTTTGTGGGTTTCTGTCTTTACAAATGTGAAGTGCTAGAATTGGCAGAAATATGTGGTGAGCATTTCACATTGCCCTTGCACCTCTAACTGCTGGCTGGGGTGTATGTTCCTTTTTCTTCCTGATCACTAAAAGTGCATTTGGGCCTTGGGCTCTAAGATCCAAGCTTTGCTCAGAGCACAGAGCCACCTTGGAGAGGAGGGTGTAGGGCTGTCCTTGGTTCCCTGGAAGCGAAACCTTTAGACTGAGACGAGGGGCAGTCTGGCCCCCCCACCCACTAATGGCAGACCTCTTGCACTGTAGCTGAGTGGGCAGTGTGTGTCAGTGCTCTTCTGACACCTGAGGTGTGTTGGTGCAGATGAAGGAGCTGATTGACTCGAAGATGGGGAAGTCAGTTTCAGCTTCCCTTGCTGGCTAGTGTCTCAGGATCTTGACCCACACAGTTAAACTGGGCAGTGTCCGAAAGGTCATCACCTGTCGTTAATGTGTGCTTTATCCCCCGGAATTAACATCTATAACTTACCTGGGGTTATGAGATATTTCTTTACTGATGAAATTAAACTAAATTGTAACTAAATACTTCCAATATTGTCATGTCACTTCCTCCTAGTACAAGTACTGTTTTAGGTGCTGAAGTGGAAGTAATTCAAGAAGCATGTGCATGGCGTCAGATGTCAATTGGAGTCTTTCTGTTCCTTTTAGCATCCTGTTCCTTTTTAGAATAATGTGTTTAATAAAACTTTGTGTAAATAAAATTGGCTTGACCTGTTTTCAATGTAGTCTAATTTTATTTTTCTCCAGGTCCATAACTTAGTGGCAATTGAATTGGCTTATATCAACACAAAACATCCAGACTTTGCAGATGCTTGTGGGCTCATGAACAATAACATAGAGGTAAGTGCAGCTCAGATTCTTGAGGTTAGTACTTTTCTGTAAATGAAATTCTCTGATTTTTGTTCCATCTTACATATTTTGATTTCTTTGTTACTTGTCTTATACATGTCTACATACAAATGACTGAGGTGAAAATAAAGATTAAGGACAGAAATGGGTAGGGAAGATGCTGTCCCCTTAGTGCCTTGCACGGAGGTAGTCTGTGGAAAGCAACTACGTGTGTGTTCCTGAGCCTGGGTCGTCCTCATGGACAGCCTGTGGGTCCTGCCCCATAAGCTGCCCTCTGCTTTGCCAGTATCCTCCTGATTGGTCTCTCTGAACGCACAGCCGGGGGTAGGCAATTGTTCCAGTTTTTTGAAAAGCAAGAGGTCACTTTTTTGTTTCCCTTGTTTTGTGTTTATAGGAACAAAGGAGAAACAGACTAGCAAGAGAATTACCTACCTCGAGAGACAAGGTAAAAAAACAATGTTTTAAAGGCAAATTTCAGAGTGTAAATATGGATGGGTAAGCCTCAGAGTATTGCTCAGTTCTAGAAATATCTTTTACTACTCCATTGCAGCTGTTTGACAGAAAATAGGCTTGGAGTAATTTAAGTAGTATTTTGGATACACTCCAGGAAATTCAAGGTGGCAAACTGACAGTGACATTTCACCTTTGCTGAATGAGTTGAAACGACTAATGACTTGATAGTAAGACTTTCTGGAGAGAGAAGACACAGTATCATGTAACAGAACTCAGTCACCTGTTCTAGCTGCATATATTAAAATATTTGAGTAGGTAATATCTGTTGCCTTTAGTTCTAGATTAGACATATCTTTGTAAGTGCCAAATAATGTTTCTGCATTTGTATTTTTCTCAGGTGTTTCTCTGAGTACCTGTACAGCAGTACAGGAAGTTGGGCAGACTTATATCCTGTGATCACTTTTGTTTCTCATGATGTGTTCTGATATAGAGAGCAAAAATTCACATTTAGATGATGTTTGAGTGCGTTTTGGCATCCTTGATTTTTTTTTCCCCTGCATTTTTGCCTTTAGTCCTCTAAAGTTCCAAGTGCTTTGGCACCTGCCTCCCAGGAGCCCTCCCCTGCTGCTTCTGCTGAGGCTGATGGCAAGGTCTGTTCTGATTCTTCATCTAAGCCTGCATGCCTAGTTGTTTGATGCAATAGAATCATCTGGACAATACACTGAAGAGCAGATTAATATAGGATATTGTCCTAAGGTCAAATCATTTTAATCTAGTGGAAATTTAAATTCTGTAACAATGTGTACTTCCTAAATAATTGACATGCTTTTGCTTGCAACCTAGACGATACACAAAGAAAAAGTAATTTAAAAAAGGAAATACCCTGCACTTTTGAATTTCATATCACTGATATTTAAATTTTGCTTGTTAAACTGCATGTTTTAACATATCTTTTAACAGTTAATTCAGGACAGCAGAAGAGAAACTAAAAATGTGAGTGTCTTACTTCAGAATGGAAATTACTGGTACCTCTGGTTCTCACTGAAAGTCTGTACAGTGACTTCTGACTCATTGTCTATGTTGTTTTAATGTTCCTCTTGGCCTAAATGACCCTCTTTAAGATGGCAGTGATTCACACTGACCTTCAGAGAATAACAGCTTTTCCCATTACCTGGAAAGGACAGTTTTGAATTTGGTATTTTCCTTCCTACCAAAACACCACTGGTGGGAATGTCCTCTTAACCACACTGCAGTCTGTCCTGCAGGACGGACAAGACACTCCTGTGGCTTCCTTAGGCTTCTGTCCAGTCCACACTGGTCCTCTCATAAGTAGCTTCGGATGCCTCAAACAGCTTGGGCGTGGGCCAGTCCTTTGTCAGTTCTCATTAAGAATCACTGAAAACTCCTTACTTCTACAAAGGGTCCAAAACTTCATGTCTATAAGTGTCTTTCCATAGCATGTTGGGCTCAGATCTTAAGAGAAACATCTGAATCTTTGCTTAAGTCTTATTTTCATTCATCATAACACATTTGTGCCTTAGGTTTCGTTTGTGTTCATAACAGGCTCTGTGTACTCAGTGTGTAGGTGGCCGCCTGTATTGGATACATTGCACCTTCACGTTAGGCTAAATCTCACCAGTGTTTTGACTCAGAATGATTGTCTCATGTTAAATTAACAAATATTTTTGTTTCTATAAACTTTTGGGTATCTCTTAATTGTAAGAGAACATTTTGAAGTATCTCCTAAATGTTGATGAATTATTGTTCTTAAACATTTTCCATCGATGTAAGAGTAACAAATTTCATAGAGCTTGTGTGTTTAGGTCCCGTGCCACAGTGCAGGCAGCTCACGTACCATCGCAAGGGTGGCACTTTTACCTTCACCTCCCGTTTTGTCAATTGTTAGAAATAAAGTGTGGAGAATTCGAATCCATAGGGCGCTGAGATCCCAGCTCATCTGTTTTTAAGGGCACTTGAAAGAAATTACCTGAATGTCAGCTGTGGTGTCTTTACTGAGCAGCTTATACTTGTTCACAATCTAATTAGAGAAGTAGAAGAGAAGAAAGGTGTTAAGTGACAAAGGAAAAAGGAGCACTTTGCCTAGTGTAGCTGAAACACTTTAGAGGCTGCGCAGACACCCACCACCGCTGACCCGGTCTCTGAGGAGATGACACTCCAGATGGAGACTGGCTATTCGTCACCTTGGTTACTGTCCACAAACGTGGTCTTTGTGTGGCTGATGTTAGATCTGCTAGGGCCATTGTAGGCTTTGGAACACCTGTTTATTTTCAGGTTACATCTGGAGGTGGTGGAGTAGGAGATGCTGTTCAAGAACCAACGACAGGAAACTGGAGAGGGATGCTGAAAACGTCAAAAGCTGAAGAGTTACTAGCTGAGGAAAAATCAAAGCCAATTCCAATCATGCCAGCCAGTCCACAAAAAGGTCACGCTGTGAATCTGCTGGATGTGGTGAGGTGGAGACTAATGAGGAACTGAGTAACTTCTAAATGTTGTTCCTGTGGCCACATTTAACAAATATGTTCCCCCCATTCAGCCAGTTCCCGTGGCTCGTAAACTCTCTGCTCGTGAACAGCGAGACTGTGAGGTCATCGAACGACTCATCAAATCTTATTTCCTTATCGTCAGAAAGAACATTCAAGACAGGTCAGTGCTGTGCGTGAGAGCAGACTGGATGTCTGTTGGCCGGTTTCCCCTTTGGGAATATATGTGTTATTTGGAAAACTCAGTCACCTGGTGGTTTGTTCTGCAGTGTGCCAAAAGCGGTGATGCACTTTCTGGTCAATCATGTCAAAGACACACTGCAGAGTGAGCTGGTGGGACAGCTCTACAAGTCTTCCCTGTTAGACGACCTCCTGACTGAGTCAGAGGACATGGCCCAGCGCAGGAAAGAAGCTGCCGACATGCTAAAGGTATCTGTGGAGTCGGGGTTCTGCTCATGCCTGGGATGTAGCTGCAAAACCTCTAGACAGGGTGTGTTTCTGACCTGGGCTCTCTACAAGCACTTGGCATACACAGGGCCCCACATCACTTGGACCCCTCGGCACACTAACTTCATGAGCTTCTATGCTTTTTCTCTTTTTCAATGCAGGCATTACAAGGAGCCAGTCAAATTATTGCTGAGATCCGAGAGACTCACCTTTGGTGAAGAGAACTGTGTATGTGATTGATACTGAGCTTTGCACCTCAGACCTTGCTAGTTACTCCTACTTGAGTAGAATTTTATTTATGAACTCTTGTGTATTGCAATGGTATCTGCTCATGTAAAGACTGGCTATAAACTGAAAATTTTACTCTGTTGCAGAACCAATCACAAATTTAATCCAAATAATAAATGGCTGTTTTTAAAATTTCCCAGTATATATCAGACATATCAAATCTGTCTTGTGACAGTTTCATTTGAACTGAAAAACAGCTGTTACTGTTCTCGTGTACAAGCAGTTTGCCCACGGGTAGATGCCCGTGTGACTTATAGTGTGAAGGCCACCGCCAGGTGCTTCCGGAAGGCCACACCTGCGTCTGTAGTGCATGCACCCCTGCTCTGGCTGCAGCCTCGAGCTAGTTGCCGTGTTGCACCTGTCCTTCACCTCCATCCAGTGAGCATCTCCGCGCCCTCTGACATGCTGGTAAACAAGCTGACAGCCCGAGGAGCTGTATCCTTGGCAGTGACACGAAGTTTGGGATGTGCAGCCCTGGGGTCACCTTCCCTGGTGCACTAAAAGCAAGAACATCTTTCATAAAGCATGTTTGACATTTTCCTGTGTTAAAAGCAACCATCTAACTTGATTAGTAAGACTTGGCGATAAAGACCAGTTCCTTTTAGATTTTAGAGGTTCTATTGAGTAAAATCATTTTGGTTTCCAAATATTATAATTCAGGTACATCTTTATATTGGGCACTGGCTTCCTATTCCACTGATGTGGGACTTAAGCATCTTGCCCATCATGAAGTGTGGCTCACCCAACACTAACTAGTTGGTGACAGTCACTCTTGCTACGCGCCCACAAGTGGGCCTCATTCACTACAGGACACCTGAATAGACGCACTCCTCGTGGCTCAGGCTCACTGGCGTTAAAAGTACATGTTCACATGTTTTGTTAGCTCCCTAGATAAGTCTCAATATAAATCTCAAGATAGAACTTGAATTCCTTAAGGCATCAGCCTCCATCTCTAACAAAAAAACATGTCAAAGAAATGGCACCACAGACAAATCTTAGCATTTTTCAGTAATGAGATTTTGGATGGTGCCACGTGTTGGGAAACGCCACCTGCAGCTGACCCCGAGTGTAAAGTCCAGGTCCAGTTGGTGGACGCAGCGCCGTCTGGCCTGCTGTTAATGCCGTCCTGCTAGCACGCACAGGGTGGTTAGAAAACTAAGACCACTGCCACCAGGTAGCCTCTCCTGCTCCCAGCCTCGGTGCCTGCTTCTTTGAATTTAAGGAAACAACTTCCAGTGCACTTTCCCCCAACACACCATACACAGTTCACATTAAATTTGTTGGCTCTTAATGACCTACTACTAGGGGTGATGCACTTGCTAGCGCTACACACTTGTACAAAGAAAAGCAGGCAAGGGACATGGGTGAGAAAGCTGCCCCTAGGCCGACAGATGCTCTGAGATGTAGAGCTGGTCGCTGACGTGTGGGGAGCTGTGTGTGCTTGCTGTGTAAATAAAACTGATGTAAAACTATGTCAATGTGTAAGTTCATTTTTCCTACCTTTAGTCCCAGAGAAAGGTTTATTAGGTAAACTCCAGGTTTTTGAAATCTATATCTGCTTCGGAACAAACAACACAGCTCATACTGTAGAATTTTGTGACTTTTCTCCTGTCAGTCTTTTAATTCCTTGAGTTGTTGGTACAGCTCCATTTTTAATGACTAGACAACCTGAAATCTTGGGAACAAAAATTAAAATTTAATACCTAATTGAGTTTCCACATTTATAACACAATGCCACCTTAGTAACTCCTGACAGGACAATGCTGAATGTAAATTTAATTATATGGAAACAGGCAAGGAAAAACTGAGTTAGGAACCTTCTAAACAGAACTGTTTTTGTTCTTTAAAAATGAACTATTCTGTAATTTGTGACACCAATGGTGGCTTAGTGAAACTTTGCCGCTTTCAAAAACTATTTACTCCCAAACAACAGAATTGGAGATTTACAAGGTTCTGAAATTGGTTTCACATTTCTTTGCGGGCACCAGAACAAGCCATTACCAGCATGATCAGGGAGCCAGAGATCCCAGTGGGAGATGAAATGCCCCCACTCTTTCTCATCTCTGTAAAGGAAGAGCCAGAAGTGTTGGGTAGGAGGGACGACTTTTGTGAAATGTGTAAGTGTAAACAGCAATTAACCTTAATCAGTTATGTTTGTACATCAGGACTGTCCCATCATACACCTTATTAATCAGCCTGTAGAAGCCGGGAAGTTACTCACACTGGGCAGATGATGTGCATGGTGAAGTTATTTCTAGAGCCAACCTTCCAGACATTTCCAGGATAAATGATCAATCGACACTCAGGATTCTGCATCAAAGCTGAAGCCATTTTATAATGTAGAAATTCCTTTTTCCTATTTTGAGTAATGAAAGTCCATTCTTAAGAATATGCTGTCCAACAACTAAAACGCTGTCTGGATTTGTGACTTGTCTGTGATTTATACTGACTCCACCTTCTGTTATCATCCGATACCTAAAAATAGAAATGCCCAGTAGTTAGACAAGCCTTGTGGCTGCCACCAGAAAACAGACCACCATTCATTTGCTTCAATTCCATTCCCCAATGGAACCATCTAGACTGATGCCTCAGCTTAATGTTTGTTCTGATAGCATCAGCTACCACCTTCTCCTTTAATGTAGCTCTACTAGGGGAGCAGATGCGAGGTATCCCTCAGTATGTGTGAAGTAAACATACATGTTGGGGACCACAAATCTGGGTGGCATATAAGGTCAGTGCCTGGGTCACTGCAGCTGTGCTTTTGCTCCCCCACACCATCCACACAAGTGTCTTATGCGGAATATCTCACTACCTGCTATACCAAATCGCTGAGAAAGGTATTCTGGCCAATTCCTGAGTTAAATGCCATTCTCAAGAGGAATGTTGTTTTATAAAAGTCTTAAATTATTTGGTTGTTGGAAAAGTCACGACACTTTTCAAACAAGCCAGTACAGCATAAGCTTTTTTTCAGAAGTTCAACTAGTATATTAGATGGGCAGCCCTGCTAACCTCCCAAAATGCAGTGCGAAAGGCTGCATGCTTGGGTGTGTCCACTCGGGCTCTCCTCACTGCTCCCTTGACTGATCCAGGTCTTAAGTGCACAGTGTAACAGTCCATGGCGGGGGGGTGGGGAATCAACCTCCCAGAAATGTGCTGCACGTTTCCAGCACAGCCTCAGTGTCCTATCCAGGGGCTACCAGGCGTCTGCTGGGAGAGGCTATGCAGGTGTGGTCAGGAAACCCCAAAACAGCTGTGCACTGTGGCCTGATGCTGAGCCCCAAGCAGCCTCACCCGCGGGGACCATCGGGGATGGCATTGGCTTTGCGGCATGTGTCGAGGATGCTCGTGCCGGGGTCGAGAACCAGTTCCGAAAAGGAGGCTTCTCTGAACAGCTCTTTCAGCTCCTGATCAGACATGCCTTCCAGTGCGTCCACGCTGCTGTGGTAGAGGGCCTGGGTGCACCTGCGGGCACAGAGAGCATGAACACCTACCTGGGCCCAGCCTGGCACCCAAACCACTGGGAGCGCCACCCACCCAGAAAAAGTATTGAGACCCGCATTTGTCTTGCATCGCTGCTACATTTAGTGCGGGACACTGCCCAGTAAGTGCAGGCTGCCACGCCTGGCCAACCTGAGTGAGGGGTGAAAGGCAGCCCTCAGACAACAGGGCTCCACAACTTGTAGTCTGCAGCCAGGCCAAATGCAACACAGACCAACCCTAAGAACAGTAACAAAAATCCAAATAAACAATGAAATGCAAGAGGCCAAATGGCAGCAAGTCCTGCTAGGAACATCTATATGGAAACACGGCAACCCGAGAAATGGACAGATCTACAGATTCATACAGGCACCCCCGACTGCACCGGAGGAAGCAGAGGTCCTGAGCAGACCAATACGAAGCTGAAATAGTCAAAAGGCTTCCCGAGAAAAAAGCCTGGGCAGAAGCCGAATCAGGTGAACTCCACCCAGACTTTCAAGAAGCTCACACCTTTCCTTTCTTTCTAAGCTCCAGAAAAATTAAATGGGAACATGCCCAGACACATCACACCAGGCCAACAAGACGCTGACCGCCCCCTCCCCACCCCAAGCCAAACAAGGACAGCACAGAAAAAGAACGAAACTACAGACAGTGGTTTCTGATGAGCGCTGACGTGAAAGTGCTCACCAAAATGTCAGCAGTCAAACTCAGAGGTGCATTAAAGGAGGCAAACACCGTGACCAAAGTGCAAGGATGGGTCAACAAATTGGTCAGCATCACCCACCACATCAACAAGCCACACAAAGCTGCACCCCAACACCAAGCCTGGTTGTGTGAACAGCTGTCGACAGACCTAAAACAACAGCAACAAAAGCACAACCGCTGTCAGAGACGTCTACACACCAGACACAGGAAGACCGTCCGGACAAAGGCAACAGCGTATGAGGTCAGGTGGATTCCCTGGACATCTCCAGAGCTTCCCATCCCAAAAGCAGGGTATACTGCCTTTCCCCTGTGACACGCAGCATCTCACCACAACATATATTAGGGCGCCGAACAAGTCCAAGAAGATACACGAAAACAGAAATTACATCCAGCATCTTCACACACCACAACACTACGAAGCTGGGGAGGGTGGAGGGCGTTGGGGGGCAGGCGGGTGTGGGTGGGGAGCTGGTGGAGGGTGAAAAAAAGGGGAACCCATCAGAAAAGTTCTGCAGTAAGCAAGGAGGAGTAGGCTAGGCACAGGCAGAAATGGGACGGCTGATTAAAAACAAATTCCTAACCCAGTGAAAAAAGCAGACTGCGATATAAAACAGTACACAAAGTAAAATATGTGAAAAGACAAAAAGGCAGACTCAGGAAGTGCAAACAAAGTCGGGGGAGCCATTTCAAGAAATAAGTCAGAAGATACAGAGGGTCCCGCTGATTTGGAGAATACAACTAACCAAGAAAACAAAGAAGCAAAACAAAACGTAGAACAAGTCACCGCTGGGCTCTGAGTGTGACTCTGGCCACCAGAGGGCAAGGCTGGCCACGAGTGGGGAGAAGCTGGGCCTGCCCCGCATCACGCAGACTCTAGTGGCCAATCAGTAAGAGGTGAACAGACCAAAATGCCAGTGAGTGATCTTTATCACGACGGGCACCTTTTTGCAGAATCCAGTCCCTCCTGGCCATGTACGAGCTTGGTTACTTCGGCAGCAAGTCGCTTCTGGGGCCCCCGCTTCTCTGGCTCCTTGACGTGCAGCTGCATGAGGTGCTCAATCTCAGGCAAGGGGAGGAAAGTAAGGAGTTTCAGGTACCTTTGGGACAAACCAAACAAGTCAGAGCTGTGTACAGACCCGACAATTAGCTCCCTCACTTTCAGAGGAAACAGCTTGGCTTAACTGCTTAAAAAAAAACAAAAACACAAATATCTTGGGCTTCCCTGGGGCCTAGGAGTTAAGTTTAAGTGCTCTCACTATGTGGCCTGAGCTCAATCTCCTGCCAGGGAGCTGACACACAGGGCACAACAGACCTCTTCAGTCTCGTCTGCTGCTCCCCTCATCAGCGGATTATAGTCAATCCACCTGTTCTTCCAAGAGTTTAAGAGTGTGATAAAAGGGAAAATCATTTTTAAAAGGATCTTCTAGGCCCTCCCTGATGGCACAATGGGTTAAACCACAGCACTGTGAATCTACCACAGCCACTACAGCACAAGATGGATCCCTGGCCACGGAGGTGGCAGACCTCTCCTGACATTGTATTTCAGTAGATCTGCAGTGTATTTCAGTAGATCTGTCTGTTCTGCATCCCGCTCTGTCTCTGGTGAGTTCTCTCACCCCCCCCCCATACCCCAGGTCTGTATGCATAAATAAATAAATCTTTTAAAAATAAATAAGAGGATCTTCCAAAGGTGTTTCATGTTATACTGTGAGGAAAGAAAGACTAACATAAAATAAGCATTAGTCAAGTTTAAGATGAAAGGAGGGGGAGAAAACTAGAAAACTCAAGTGATCACCTCCTGAGTGACAGAACACAGAGTTGCCTCAAAATTTCTAGCAAACAGGCAACAATAAGTGTTTACAACAGTTAACATTCTAAGGTTCTGTGAGGAAATGGTTTTGTTAAGGGGAAGGATGTCCTAAAGGAACTCTGCAGAGTCTTATGGACTCCACCCCCTAGCCCAGCTTTCTGGACACTATCCCCTACTCCAGTAGGGGAAACTACAACTCCCAGCAGTACCAGGAAGAGAACTGCGAGGACCCAAGGGTGGAGCTAACAGGAATTCTGGAACATTTGGGGGATAAATAGGGTGCAACTGCATCTTGCGCTCGCTCTCACTCTCTGGCTCGGGAAGCAGCTCTCCTGACTGCATGACTTGGTGCGTTCAGTCAGCCTAGCCGTAAGGTATTCCACTTACTTTGTATCCCTCTCTCTTTCCCTGGGTTGTTTCCTATTCCTTTCCCCTTTTATAAATAAACCCGTAATTGACCCTTTTGTGTGTCCCTGCTGTAACTGAGTTGTGAGCACATGGGTGAGGTCCCACAGACAGGCAGCCCAGTCCACTCTGGGCTACCCTGTAACAGTTTCTGCCTTATGTAGGTTCTAAATAAAGCCAACAGATTAGAATGCAAAAATTTTAAGTTTATGAATGCAGTTTTCTCAGCGCGCTGACTCACCTTTCCACAGAGTCATCTTGCTGCCGGACAAAGAACTGATACAACTCAAAAGGTGACGTCCTCTCCCTGTTCAGCCACACGGCATTACCAGCTGACTTCCCCAGCTTTGCTCCAGATGTGCTTGTAATCAGGGGAACAGTGATTCCAAAAACATCTTCTCCAGTCAACCTAGGTACAGAGAACTTATTTAGAGCTGCAGCACAGTGGGAGCAGGTGCGCACTCCAGAGCATTCGGGCCTTTGCCTGGAAACACCCCCTAACTTCCCAACCTGCTGCCTCTGCACTCCTAGCTGGCATCTGCCATTCTGAAGAGCAAGGAAGTTGAGACGCCAAGCAGCAGCCGGGGAGAGGTGAAGCATAACCAGGGAGTGCGGTTGTTTAAGGGCAAGGTGGGTGGAGGAGAGAAATTTAGGCGAAGTAGGAGATAAATGGAGGCACTAAAGGTGGGATTTTAAAAATGACTAGCACCTGGGCTAGGTGTGTTCACTCACTTCCCTCAAGAAAATGCTATTCAAATCTACACTATTTCCCACATACTCAGCGTTAAAGAGAAAACTTTTTTAAAAGACGCCAACAAACAGCTTTACCACTCCACAAAACATGCAGAGCTAAAGTGACGGCTTTTCAAACGACCCAGCTATAAACAAAGAAAAGCAGTTTTTGAAATCACAAACAGAAATAATTGCCAAGACAGAGTGTGAGTCCGAGTGGAGGTCCTTTTCCTATGGGGGGTGGGGGAGGGTTAGGACGCTCCTCACCTACATTAAGATCATCGCAGCCCAGTGACCGGGACATCACCAACATGGGATCTCAGGAAGGGCGTCATCCCAGGATCCCGAATTAATGGCTGAGTGTCATAGCTCGGTCCAGAATTGTTCGCGAGCCCAAAAGGCACTTACTTGTGGATGAACTCATATCCCGATGTGATGTTGCCCAGCTGATCGGACCCGCCTAGTTGGACTCGGCAACCGTACCGTTGGAACAGGTAGTAAAAGTCGTAGGCCTGGAGCACCTGGTAGAAGAATTCGGCCAAGCTCATGCCCTCGGGGCTTCGGAGCCGCGTCTGCACGCTCTGCCGGCTGAGCAGCGTTCCCATGCGGAAGTGGCCGCCGGCAGCCGCCAGGAAGTCCACCAGGTGCTGCTCGCTGTACCAGTCCGCGTTGTCCAGCACCGTGAAGCTGCCCCAGGCGCGGCCGTCGGCAAAGAGCTGGCGGTGGTGCGCGGCCAGGGCCTCCAGGCTGCGCCGCAGGGCGCGCGCGTTGCTGCCCACGCGATCAGCGTCCAGCGCTTCGCGCTCCTTGGTGCGGCCGCTCGGGTCCCCCAGGCGCGCCGTGGCACCCCCGACCAATGCGATCACATTGTGGCCGGCCCGCTGGAAGTGGAACAACCCAAGCAGGGCTAGCAAATGCCCTACGTGCAGCGAGTCGGCCGTGGGGTCGAACCCGCAGTAGACGGTCTGGGGGCCGCTGCCCGCCGAGCGGCGGTCGAAGAGCTCGGGGAGTTCCACCTTCGTGCCCTTCTCGGGGAAGAAGTCCTTGAACAGTCCCCGCGCCTTCTGCGTCACCAATACCCCCCTAGCGCTCGAGTGGGCCTCACGCGGCGAGAACCCCAGGGTGCGGCGCGCAGTAGACCACCGGCGCCAAGAGGCACTCCGCCACACGGGCGCAGCCATCTTAGGCGCGCAGGGCGTGCCGGGATCGGCCCCGGAGCCTCTCTGCGCATGCCCGCCGGTAAGCTACTAGGTGACGGGCGCGTCCACCTCCCGCCTTTAGGCGCTCCTCTTGGGACCCCAGTGCCTCCAGGGGGCGCGCGTGTTGGCCTCGCAGCCGAGCGGGAGGGTCCTGGCGCCTGGCACCCCAGGCGCGCTCGCAAAAGCCAGCGCGCCTTTGGATTTCCATGTTCAAAGAGGGTTTTGAGGCTTCGGGCAGTGCTAGCCGGCACTGAAGGTTAGCTGGCCGCTCGGGCGACCACGGGGTTCGCAGGTGCGCGGGGAACCGGAGCCCGCGGCCCGCACTGCCCGGCCGCGCCAAGGGGTGGCACTCGTGCCCAAGCTATGGCGCCAGAAAGCCCTGTTTTGCCTTTGACGGGTTACTGCAGCCCAGCTTCGAGCCTAAGTGGATTCCCGCTAGTGAGTGGGTCGCTGAGGCGCGCCAGGTGCTGTCAATGCCCTGCTTGTGCGTGGGCTTTCATTTGGCAGGCGCTGGCGGGGCAATCAGCTCCAAATCCAGTTTGAGAGTCTGATTTCTAAGACCACTTAAGAACAGTCTTCGATGGAGTTCCTTGGGACGCAGGCTGGTCTGCTGTTGCTGCTGCTGCTGCAATAGTGTTGGCGTTCACTCTTAGGAAAGGCATATGAGGGGGCTGGACGCAGAACTGGGCAGCAGAGGTGGGCCAACTTGCAGTAGTGGCCTCGGCGGTCCCTCTGAAGCTGGGATTTTCTTTAGCAATCACCCTATTACTCCGTTACTGACCAGTGCTTACGTGCAGGAGAACCCTGGAGAGAAAGATGAGAGAGCCAGCAAGCACAGAGCAGGTGCTCTGTGCATTATTCCAGGCTTTAACGCTCTTCCTACCCCAACTGTTGTGAGGAAGCCCACAGACTGGCAGGAAAGGGAAGCCTTCTGGACACCAGTTAATCTTCACTCTTTCTGTTTGGGCTCTCGCTGGTTTTTTTCTTGTGGTCTCTTCCTCTCATAGCCATGCACATTTTCTGTCTCTGAGTGACACCGCCCTTACAGCCTCAGGTAAGGCTCAGGTGTGCTCACTCTCACATGCCCACACCATGCCCCAGGTGTCCACAATCAGGCCCTCTGGCCCTGTGCTCACGCTCCCAAGCACCTTCTACATTCAAGACCGCAGGTGATAGCCACAAAGTCTGGCGCTATAAAAGCCTGAGCATTCTACTTGCCCTGCAGAGAGGCAGGAGAGGATTGTGGCCATCAGCAGCTGGGGCCTGAGTGCCTTGTCCTGAATTAGGGTCTTGGTCCTGTTCCAGAACATCCCTGGCATTGTGAAGCCACCAAAAGGACATGTTTGTCAAATTAATGTATGCATGTTTAATTGTCAGTGGATCACGTTTCTCACTGCCAAGTAGTAACTTGAAGAGGACTGAGTACGTAACAGGCTGTGTAGTATAACCCCAAATGTGGAAGAGAATGCCAGTGTGCCCTGTTATCATTTGAAATGTGTTCAGATTGTCCTTCACAACCAGTCCTCATGCAGTGTGATCAGGTCAGATTTCAGTGTGTGTAGCAGGAAGTTCTGTGCCCACACCAGAAGGTGCTTTGTATTTAGTGCCTGAAAGACAAGAGCATTTGCCCGTTTTTTGAATGGCAATCTTTGATTCTTGAGGTTTCTGATATTTACTGTCTGTGGGCTAGTATGCCTGTGGCTTTTAAAAGTATGTTAGTCATGTTAACCAGGAAGTATGACTTCATAGTGCGGTCTGACTAGTCACTGAAGTAAATCCTACCTCTGGCAGAAGTGTGTATCTGTCCCAGCATTACCTGGCGGCCTGTGTTTAAAAGAACTCTTGTGGATCATGAAAAATGGTAGATTTCTACCTGAGATTAGACTTTATCAGAAGGCTTTAGAACAGATTTGATTTTTAGTCTGTCTTTGTGAGTGTGGTCATACTAAGTGAACAGGTGACAGGTGTGATGAGGCACTTGTCAGTTACTCAATGACAGCAACAACTCTTTTGTTGTTTATAATTGTCTTGGTAAAACAGGAAAGATGAGGTTTTTGTTCTTAACAATAGAGAAACAGTGGGCCTCCCTGGTGGCACAAAGGATTAAGTATCAGCTCTACCAAGCTATCTGCAGCCACTGAAGCACAAATTCAATCCCTGGCCAGGGAGTTCACCCACACGGTACAGCAGGCCTGCTCCCCTCAGCAGTGAATTTCAATAGATTTGCTTATTCTGCTCCCCATTCTATCTCTGGTGAATCCTCTCGCACACACCCCCTCCTGTACCTCTGCCTCACACCCCAGTTATTGTATGCATAAATAAATAAATCAATCTTAAAAAAAAAAAAAGGATTAGCATGATAGAGCTTCTCTGTTGGTGCAGGGGTTAAGACTATCAGCTGTCTCCAGCTACTGCAGGACTAAGTTTTATCCCCAGCAAGGGAGCTGACCCACATGGCACAGCAAACCTCTCCTGTCTCACCCTGCTGCTCCCCCTCAGCAGTGGATTTCAGTTCATCTGCCTGTTCCCCACTCTGGAGAATCCTCTCAACTCCTGCACATCTGGCCTGTGCCCAAGATCTTGTATGTATAAATAAACTGGAAAAAAAAGATTGGAGTAATAGAAGCTGGGTCTTTAAAACCTTTGGAATTATCTGTGTGGCTAAATATGTGTGGGACTCACCCTATGACTCACACCTGGGGGAAGTAAAGGTGCCTGACCTGATTCCGGCGATTTTTATTGCTTCAAAGTGAAGACATATTTAAAGGAATTCTGGAATGTGTGGTTTGTTTCAAGTGTGGTAACTCTTGAGGTGGTTGACCTTGAGCTAGAGGCACCAATCTTGCTGTCACCCATTCCTGTGACAGAGAGCCACCTACATAGTCAATGAGGAGTGTCCCTGATTTATATGACATGGTTTTCAAAATGTAAGCGATTATATTATTTTCAGAAGGCAGTGAGAGTCAAGATTTGTGAGTGGGATTTGTGGCTGCCTCTTGCTCCATCCAGAGGCACATGTCCAAATGACAGACGACATCTGGCTGGGGCTAGAATAGGAGCTGTGGGGAAATGGAGGTGACAGATATGTGACAGTGGGGAGTTTGAGGAGCACTGCTGCGGCCATCACTACCTTACCATCCCCACTGGGGTTTCTTAGTTTTCCTGGAACATGAGCGGTGACCTCATCTGCAGAAGGGATTGGCTGCGAGCTGCGCCCCTTGCACCGGCACACGCAGGGCAGAGTCGAGTGGTGCGGAAGCCTAACTAAGTCTCTTACCCTAAAGGGGTGATGACATCCTGCCATCAGGAAGACATGGTTGGGGTGCCCAGAGCTGTGCATGGAAACCAGGGAGCCCCATGCCCACGCTCCCAAGGACCTCCTGCATTAACACCGTCAAGGCCCCCCGGGAGTGGACAGAGGGGCTTGCTGGGCATTGTGCACCTGAGGTGTCTACCACGCTTGCACCTGCCCCTGGGCCTCGCTGTGGTACAGCTTGTGGGACATCACAGGCCCGCCCTGCTGGGAGCCCAGCACCTGGCACCAGCACACACAGGGCACAGAGGCCCCTGGGCAGCAGGTGGCCCTGCTCTGCTGCCCCTGCCTGTCCTAGGTGCATATCCCAGGCCGAGTGGGTCTCAACTCACTTCTCTTCCAGCTTCTCCAGCCCACACTCCCCAGGACTTGGCAGGCACCCGCAGCCCCGTCATGCAGCCCCCCCTCTCTGAGTCCCCACTCAGGAGGGCGCTCCTCCGGGTTCTGCCCGGGACCACCATGCTGCCTTTTGAGCATCTGCTCTGCTGTTGGTGATGGAGGGTAAGGATAGAAGAGTTGGAAAGGAGGTGCCACGAGGTCAGAAACCTGGTTCACGCAAGGCCGGTGCTGGAGTAGGCACAGGGATGCACACAGTCGCTAACCCAGCTACAGAGACAACCATCCTTGAGCAACATTGGCTACAGCCAGTGTCAGAGGTTACAGAGATCATCACAGGCACAGGCCGGAGGTGGGACATGGAGATGGAGGCCATTAGGGAATCTCTGATCCTTTTCAAATTCTGCATTTGTTCAAAATGAACAAAAGTTAACAATTCCGTGCAGTGAGCACCCCTGAAAGAGAAGACCCTTTCAGGGCAATCTCTGCTCTGGCAAAGGACAGCGGCCTCCTGCTCACCTGGACCTGTGCCCACACGGGGGCTTCTCACTGGTCCCCCTCCGCAGGGGCAGCTCCCCCCAGGCTGCCCACACAGGCCTCTCTCAGCAAACCTGTCCCTCTTGGGCAGCCCTCTTTGCCCGCTTGTGTCCATGCAAGTGTCCTTTCTTCTTCTCTCCCTCTTACCATACCTGCCCTTTTGGGTACAATTAATGTCTTTGTCCCATGGAGAAATTCACCTGGGAAACTCGACGGTGCTACTGAAAGGGAGGCTCTAGGGAAACCTGTTCTGTCCCGATTTCTGTGACCAGGCCACAAGGAAGAAAGACAGGAGGCAGAAAGGCTGAGCAAGGGAAACCTTTCCCAGAGTGAACCCAAGGACCCCTCTCTGAACCCAGTAGCTCCAAAACTGATTTCCAGTGAATAAAGACACTGAAAATAACACCAGCCATAACTGCAAATGGACCAAACCAGTCACACACACAGACCAGAGAAGGATGTGGGTGGTGGCAGGGGTGCCTTGAGCTGGAGGGCTGTGTCACGTGCACAGTACTGAGAAAGGAATGCATCCCCATGTCTAGGTGAAGTGTCAGACCTTTATCCTCTTGACTTGAGAAGTAGGTGGTAAGAGAAACGACAGTGGGCAAACCACAGAGGCCTTAGTTATTTCAAAATATATTAAACTCCGCCTGCTTGCCCTGTTCAGGAGCACCAGAGCCTGGCCAGGGAGGAGTCAAGCTGGGCCAGGACACAGTGAAAAGGAGCCAAGTGACCAAGCAGCATTTGCAGTAGAATGGGAAGGAAGGAAGTCATGGGAACAAAGAACCTTCAGACA